AGGAGCAGGGGTCGAAGGAGGAGGAGGAGGAGGAGGAGGAGGAGGAGGAGGGAGGAGGAGGAGGAGGAGGAGGAGGAGGAGGAGGAGGAGGAGGAGGAGGAGGATAGGACGTACCCTGAGGGCGGGCCCCCGATGACCGCACTAGACGCGAAGCGCCAAACGCGCAGCACCAGCCATCCGCTCGGCTTCTGTATACGTTAGGTGTGCCCCTGGAGGCACGGTATCTTTGGCTTTGTGATAGATATGAAACGCTCTGGCCGTTGCCTCAAGCGTCTGGGCTCGACTCAGCTCACAGTCTTCCGTGCCGTACTCCGAAGGACTTCCGAGGCCAAGCCAAAGCACGGGCTCCACAGGAAAGACGAGCCGCACCCAACTCATGGCGACGTGGTGCCTCATTCGAGGGCAACGGAAGGAGTGGCTGATACTGTCGGAGCCTCCGCAACCAAAAATGCAATCCCGAGAATGCCGTGAGACGTGCATCCGACACGATGTGGTCCAACCTCCCGCCAGGGACTTCCATGCAGCCCATCTCCACGAGGGGCGGACTGAGGTGAGCTCTGCACGCAGCATGACCAACGAGCACTGAGATCGGGCGGGGGTGGGATCTCCCAGGCTCTCAGACGGCGGCTGAGCGTCAGATGGAAGCGTTCAGGGTACAGGGCACGCGACACAGCCGAACCGACAATACGTTGGATCTTCGGTTTGCGCTGGTTAGCCTCAGCCGCTCTCGTCTCAGCTCTACCCTCCGCTTTAGCCGTCTCCCATGCTCTAAGAGAGAGGGGGTGAGTGGAGCGAAGCGAGGAGTCACGACGCCTGACGACAACAGACGGGGAAGAGGAGAGGAGGGAGTGAAAGAACTGGACGATGGATTCCGCCCGCCTCCAGCACGGGGCGCACCATTCTCCAGCTGCCCACCGCTGAGCAGAGAGAGCAGGGGAGCCGCAGGCGGCGTCGGCGGCCTGCTGGAGCGCCTCGTAGGCGCCCCTCCAGTCTGGTACCGTGTACGATGCCATTCTCCATGCGGATGCGATGCCCAGAGCTACGAGCGATCGGGGTGATGACCCAATCCATGAGGCAGAAAGCAAATCGGCGAGGGAGAAGGTGTTAGGAGGGAGACGGAGCAATTTGTGCAGAGCAAGACCTTCGCGGGCGATGGCACTGGGAGACATGGGAAAGAATTGAGCGAGATAGCCGAGAGTGCTGACCGCGTACATGTTATATTGGAAGATCGAGAGTGCCGAGGCGGCACGAGATGATGGCAGTTCAATAGTGCGATGCCACCATTTCTGTGCTGCTTGATGCCACTGGAGTCCGAGATCCCCCTCCGGTCCAAACTGAACCCCCAAGTACGCCGTCGATCCCTGGATATCGAACTCCTGGCACTCAGGCAGTTCACGGGCCAGCCAACCTCGGATGCTATGAGCGATCTCCTGAGTGCACGGGGCCCACAGTGGCACGATGCAGCATTTGGCAGGCTGGAGACGCAGGAACGCGTGCTCAGCAACATCATTAAAGTGAGGCATCATGTCTTTCAGCGTGCACAATTGTGGGAGCACTGCGCCTACGTCATCAGCACACCCTCCTACCTGGCCTGGGATCTGACTCTGGTCAGCGGGGTGTTCGACAGCCTGGGAGAGCAAACGAATCACTGGATCGAAAATGAGCGCCCATACAGACCCCGAGAGAGGGCATCCCTGGAGGACGCCACTGCAGATATGGAAAAGAAAATGCAATTCACCTCCGAACCGTCCGAAGCCCCTAGGGCAGAAGTAGAGCGAGTGGAGAAGGTTGAGGAACCCTTGGGGGACTCCGTGACGGCGGAGAATCTCAAACAACCATTGGTGCCCCACGGAGGGGAACGCGGCAGCAATATCAAATGACACAAAGCAAGGCCATAGCTCTGCAGCATTCTCTGACACGCTGAGAGCTCTGGCGGAGGCGTCCATAAATATGATGTTGCGAGCGAAATTCCTTCCTATCACAAAGCCTCTCTGATTAGGGTGCACTTTTTTGGCGACCGCCTGGCGCAGGACAAAGTTCGAGGCACTGGCGATGATTTTGGTACCAGTGTTGCGCAGCGAGAGAGGGCGCACCTTGCTAGCTTGCCTGACACCGTCGAAGTGATCTTCTGGCAACGACCCCTTCGGCAAGAAAGCGAAAACCGAATCATTAAGATCGCGTGGCACATAGTCACCACGAAAAAGGTGAAGGGCAAGGTCATGCAAGACAGCCAGCTGCTCGGGGATAGCAGCCCATGCGCGGTAAGTGAACCCATCAGGCCCTGGAGCAGAGATACGAGCGCGAAGCAAGGCCTTCTCGAGGCCCGCACGCGACGGCACAGGGAGACCATCAAGGCCAGGGCCGGCCCAGGGGCAACCGAGGCGGTCCACGTACGCACGGAGCTTGACAGGGTCCACTACCTTGGCCTTAAACACCTCCCCCCAATGGCTAGAGAGCGCAGCGCGGATATCTTCTGCTGAACGCGCCACTGGAGAAGCGTCGGAGGGTGGTGAGGCTGGAGCCAGCGTCTCAGGACGCACTCCCTGCAGAACAAGCGAGCCGCCTTTCGGGCGCCAAAGTCGGGCCTTACGCTGAAGCGAACGCTGGTGACGACGCGCAGCGTCAGCCGAGAGACGATCACCTGACGCGGCAGCTTGCTGAGCTAAGGCAGCAGCTCGGGATTGGCGGCGCGCAAGCGCGGCAGCGCTGGTGTCACGAAAAAGGGCACTAAAGATATCAGGCTCGAGAAGAGAGAGAGTGGTGGCCGAGAGGGAGAGGAAACGAGCTCCGAGAAGCGTGGTGGCCTGCAGGGTAGCCCCGACCCGTAGATCTTGCCTCCAAATGGCCCTCGCGATGGCTCTCAGCGTGACCAGACGGGCCTCCAAGGCATTGGGGTCCTGCGAGACCAATGGGAGGCCTTGGAGCTCATTACGGGTCTCACGGGCGGCTTCCCACATGTATTGTTTCATATATCTCCAGCGCACCTCCGCAGGCACATGTGATATGTCTACAGCAGAGACCAGGGCGGCAAGTTTCGCGCGATAGCGCGGGTCTTGGAAAATAAAGTCAGGGATACGTAGTTCATTGTGCTGACCCGTGCCACGATTCTGAAAAGAAAGCGAAACCAACGCGTGGTCACTCAAACGAGCGTCGGACATTTGGCATGGGTCAGCATGAACTTCCATCGCCGCATCGATCTCAAGCATGTATTCCGAGGGAATCCCCAGGAAGACACGATCAAGAGTATTCGCTGTGAAATGCAGGCGGTTAAATCTTGCCGGGAGCTCTGTGCATACCTCAGTGGCTGCATGCATGAGCGGTCTCCAGAAGCCTTCCAGAGGGGCCATATGCGTATCGACAGCAAGACGGGCACTGCAGGGCTCAGGGTTCTGGTAGCTCACAGGGGCACCAGCAGCGATGTTGAAGTCGCCCAGCGCGATGAAGGTCCTCCGCAGCGGCTCCTCCTTACACCATGCAAGCGATTGCTGCCATACTTCTCGAATGCGAGGGAGAGTGCGGGGTTCCAGCTCATAATTGTGGACATTCATGATCTTCATTGCAAACTTTGTCTTGGGATTGAGGATGCTGACAAGCTGAACGCGCCCATCAGCAATAACTTCATGAGTGATACTTGGTTGGTCTTCGAGGGGTACCGATTGCGCCGCCATCCGAGAGGGTAGAGGAACCAATATGGCAACACCGCCCGCGCCAGAGAGGCCCGTGCTGGAGTGAAAGAGCTGATAGTCGAAGGGAGTGGCATTGAGAAGAGTATGAAGCACCTCCGTCGTGCCATGCGTCTCTTGGATGAGGATGACAGCGCGATCTTTCATGTGCGGGAACAGTCTTTGAAATTTACGACGACGACGCCGCTGGTCGAGACAAGCAAGCCCACGAGCGTGCCAAGAAATGATGCGACCTCCACGTTGCACAGGTGTCCATTCCCATGGGGACCAGCGGCTGCTAAAGACTCCATCCGTCGCCAGTGGTGTCCACCGAGTTGGCCAGGAGCTTGAAGGCCTCCACGACGGCAGACTTGTCAATGGTAAACCTCTCAACCGTGGGGCCATGCCAGATGAACTTCGTGGGATCATCAGCACCAGCAATCTCGAGGACCACGACGGGGACACGGTCGACCATGACCACGCCCTTGGTCCTCTGGCACGAGATGTCCAGCCGAGGGTGTCGCTCAGCCAGCACACGCTGTGCCTTCTTCGTGTGGAGCTCCAATCGTACTTGGCGTGGGGCCTTATCTGGACTGATGTAGATCGGGGCCTGTGCCCCTTGGGTGTTCTGTGCCGCGAAGTTGCGCCAGCCAGCCGAGGTCCTGAGACCTTGTGCCAGCGCCAGTGCACGAGGACGGGCAACCTCATCACCGCCAATCGTGCGCAAGAAGAACTTGCGCGATGGAACCTGGCCGTCGAGCTCGATCTGGTCCATGGTGAGGCCCGACTCGGCGACCCAAGCCTGGACGGCCCTGCGCACCTCCAGCGGCGCGATGGCCGACGGTGCACCGATGGTGAAGAGGGTCGGCTCCGCCTGCCTCTCCCGCTGCGCCAACTTCGCCGTGTCGAATGCGGAGGCCTGCGCCTCAGCCAATGCAATCGTCCTCTCCATGCGCGCAACCGTATCTCGAATCCTATCCTGCTCACGTTCTTGATCATTTTGCCGACGTTGGATGTCGGCGATGGTGTGGCTGTGCTGGTCGACCCTTTGCGTTCGTGGCGAGAATCTGTTTGAAGCACATCCGCATGCTCGACTGGAAATCGTCCTGGGCCTTCTTGAGAGTCTCATTGCAGACAGCCTGCAGCTTGGTGGAAGCGACATCAATCTGCGTGTTGAAGAGGTCCTGCATTCTTTTATCAAACTCATCAGATGTAGGTATACGTCCATTCCATGGGTCTCCAGCACCCTCATGCCAAGGGTCTCTAGGCGCTCCGCTGGGGGGGCCTGCAGCACGACCTCGCTGGGAGGCGGCGGCGGCATCACTGGCGGGGCCAGGTGCGGCGGCACTGCTGCTAGCCCCCATCGCGGGTGCACCAGCTGCTGGAGGAAGCTCACCATCAGCACGGGCACCTGCACGAACCTCTTGTGACGGCAGCGTCGGCGCGAGATCAAGCGCCGCTGCCAGGGATGCATCACCCATTCGTTCCTGCGACGGGAAAGTGGGCATTGCTTCGAGCTGAGCAAGGGTGGCCGCTGTCGCCTCCCTGCGTGAGCGGCGCTTGCGCCGTGCCCGCTCAGCACTTGCACTGCCATGTCGAGGGGCGGACTTCGAAGCACGCTGCCTGGCGTCCACGGAGTCCTCCGAGGCCGTGCTGCCGTCGTCGAGGTGGTGCACCTCGGGTCCGCTGCCACGTGCTGCCATGGGTGCGCGGCGGGAGCAGCAGACACAGGGAAGGGCAGCCCTGTGTTGCACACAGAAGATGAAAGTAGTAGGGCCAGGGGCCCGATAGAAAGCGCGAGAGTGTAGCAAGAGAGGCTCAATCTGTGCCGTGGGGACCGGGTGTGGGCAGCCTGGACCAATTCCACCCCTCGCCCCAGCGACATCATGAGCCAAAATGGCTACGGAGGAGGAGGAGGAGGAGGAGGAGGGAGGAGGAGGAGGAGGAGGAGGAGGAGGAGCAGAAGGAGGAGGAGAGGAAGAGGAGGAGGAGCAGAGGAGGAGGAGGAGGAGGAGGAGGAGGAGGAGGAGGAGGAGGAGGAGGAAGAGAGGAGGAGGAGGAGGAGGAGGAGGAGGAGGAGGATGAGATGAGGATGAGGATGATGAGGATGAGGATGAGGATGAGGATGAGGAGGAGGAGGAGGAGGGAGGAGGAGGAGGAGGAGGGAGGAGGAGAGAAGAGGAGGAGGAGGAGGAGCAGAAGGAGGAGGAGGAGGAAGAGGAGGAGGAGCAGAAGGAGGAGGAGGGGAGGAGGAGGAGGAGGAGGAAGAGGAGGAGGAGGAGGAGGAGGAGGAGATGAGGATGAGGACGAGGACGAGGACGAGGATGATGGAGGAGGAGGAGGAGGAGGAGGAGGAGGAGGAGGAGGAGGAGGAGGAGGAGGAGGAGGAGGAGGAGGAGGAGGAGGAGGAGGAGGAGAAGGAGAGGAGGGAGGAGGAGGAGATGGAGGAGCAGGAGCAGGAGCAGGGGTCGAAGGAGGAGGAGGAGGAGGGGGAGGCGTCGAGGGCCCCGCCCAGTAGGCCTTGGCGCCTCCTCTGCGCCCCGCCCCCCGCCCGCCGAGAGAGAGCCCGCCGGGCGGGGGCGGCGAGGGCGCGGCGGGCCTCGCCGCGCCGCGCCGCCGAATGGCACGCGCGCGCGGCGGCCGGCCCCCGCCGAGGGCTCCCGGGCCGCGCGAGGCGCCGCCGGCGGCGGCTCGAGGCGTGGGCCCTCGACCTCCACAAGGGGGCGTCCAGGGGCACAGAGAGAGAGAGAGAGAGAGAGATCCGCGGGCGCAGATCTTAGGGCTCCCCACATCTTTTCTTGTCCTGCGGGCGCTGGGTTTGCGCCCTCCCCTCCCCCAGCTCCCACATTTACGATTTTGTCCCAGATCTTCCTGGGGGTGGGCCACAAGAAACCTGCCACAAGAAACCCAACCCTGAGACCCCAGGAGATCCATCGAGTTCTGGTGCGGGAACGCCACGCCCTCTCCATTGCAAAACCACCGAAGCCCAAGAAAGCCCAGGGCACCCTGGAGGCAAGCAGAGTGCTTCTTGGCATGGGCCCCATCTGTAGACACAAATCCCAGGAATCCCCCTGCTGTCCTGTATTTGCTGGGTTTTCGTCTTCCCCCCCACTTCCCATATATTTTCCCATATTTCCCTTGGGGCTCGACGATGAACTGTGTCGGTGTATGTGTGTGTGCGTGTGTGCGGTGTGTGTGTGTGTGTGTGTTCCCCCTCTAGAACCCCTCCCCCTTCCAACAGTGGAAGCTGTTTATCATCTCGGCGCCCTGATGGACGGGCTGGAGTCCGAGGCGGAGGAGGAGGAGCAGCAGGAGGAGGCGGAGGAGGAGGAGGAGGAGGAGGAGGACTAGGAGGGGGAGGAGGAGGCAGAGGAGGAGGAGGAGGGTCGAGTTTGTTCCCCGCCGAGAGAAACAGCGGGGGGCCAAACTAAAGGCCCTTCTCGGTTATTGGGGGGGGGGCCCACCAGTCAACCCGTATCAGAAGGACGCACGACAAGGGTGCAAAGGCCTTGGAAGGCCATGTCGCCCCTTTGCGGACGGGGCGCGGCCAGCGAAAGCGCCCCTTCACGGCCCTCCTCTCAACCCCCCATATAGGCCACCCCTCGCCACCACCCGCCCGACCCCCGACCCCCCGGCCACGACCCCAGGACCGGTCTCTCATCGCGAGCCGTGTCTTGACGGCCCCGCGGCCCCGCAGGAGGGCCCCGAGACCCGAGGTAGAAGCAGCAAACGCGATGCAAACAGCAGAAACTTTTGGCGCTCCGCGCGGGTTTCTTGCATCTGCGCTGGAAACCCCCCCTCCCTGTCGGGTCGGGCGAGAGGGGGGGATAGCAAAGGGGGGGGGTGAGAATCAGCTCACGTATGGCTGACTTTCCCGGCGCCTCCCGGCGCCAGAGGCGACTATGTATCGAGGAATGGGCCCCTCGGTGAGGCCGAAACCAGCTGCATGCAGCAGATTTCGCAACCCCCCCTTTCCCAATCCCCCCCTTTCGCCCGGCCCGACAGATGGGGTCGGGGCAGACGATCGCGCCGCATCGCCGATACATCGCCGATGCATCGGCGATGTATCGGCGATGCACCGGCGAGGCATCGGCGACGTCGGCGGCGCATCGCCGACGTCGGCGTGGAGCAAATCGGGCTCCACATCGAGCCGCATCGCCGATGCATGCAGCAGATTTCGTATCCCCCCCTTTCGTCCGGCCCGACCCTGGCGCGCGGAGCGCGCCAGGGGCGCCGCCGGAGGCGCCGCCGGGGGGGCCCCGCGCGCGGACCCGGGAGGCCCGCGCGGCGCGCCAAGACAGCTTCTGCGGTGTTTTTATGGCGCCTTGTGTGCTGCTCTTCCTCGAGAGGAGGGGGGCCGAAGCTCGTGAGAGGAGGAGGAGGAGGAGGAGGAGGAGGAGGAGGAGGAGGAGGAGGAGGAGGAGGAGGAGGAGGAGGAGGAGGAGGAGGAGGAGGGAGGAGGGAGGAGGAGGAGGAGGAGCCTCCGCCTCTCGACGTCGCCGGGGCGCCCCGAGGGCCGGGAGCCCGCGCGGCGCCGCGCGCGCGCGCCGAGGGGGCGCGCCCGCGGGAGCGCGCGGGGGGGGGCGCGGGGGGCGGCCTGCCCGAGGGCTGCCCGCGGGGCGGCGGGGCGGCGGACCGTCGCGCCGCGGGCCGGCGCGCGGCGGCGGCCGGAGGCCACGACGCCACGACGGCGACGTCGGCGTCGAAGTCGCGACGGCCGCGGCGGCGACGACGCCGTGGGCTTCCACGTCGGCGCCGGCGTCGGCTTCGGTGTCGACCTCAACTTCGAGGTCGACGACGACTTCCGCGTCGAGGGGGAGGACGCGGGCGACGACGGGAGGTGTGTCCTGTGCTGTTGGCATCGACGTCAAGAGGGTCAAGTGCCCTCGGCTCCTTGGGGAACGACGACGGGAGGTCTGGCGGAGGGGGAGGAGGTGCATGCGGGGAGGGGGGGTGGGAACGAGGAGGGGAGGGGGGAGTGTCTGGAGGAGTCGCAGCTGCGCAAAACAAACACCGAGGAGAAGAAGCAGGAGCGGGAGGAACATGTGCCTGCGACCCATTGCGAACCTTTCCCATGCGGGTCTGCTCAACGCTTGGGTTTTGGACACCCCCACTGTTGAGCAGGGACCGACTGTCCTCGCTTTCCTAATAGGCCTGCCACGAAAATCTCTTAGAACCCAAACATGTTCTAATAACAAGAACAATGTGACTAGAGCAAAAGCCCGATGTGGAAAAACAAGGCAGTCCCAGCCAGAAGTGTTCTGAGAACATTTCGTGCACACCACAAAAGGTTCTTAGAACATTCTGTGGTGGGCCTACAGGCGAGCCGGGACGCTTGTCACTGCTTGACACTGGCGCCCACATGGCTGCAGACGTCCTTCGAATTCTGCAAGCCCCGCTGGCGTTGCGGAAACCTGACCTGCAGAGGTCCGCCACCTGGGCCCCAGGCACAAGTTCGAATGCCTTCAGGTCCCCGGTGCTTGCAGTGGAGCCCCGACCACATGAAACCTCCCACAAGAAACCCAACCCTGAGACCCCAGGACGTCCATCGATTATTTGTGGCGCGGGAACGCCACGCTCTCTCCATTGCAAAACCACCGAAGCCCAAGAAAGCCCAGGGCACCCTGGAGGCAAGCAGAGTGCTTCTTGGCATGGGCCTCCACTGTACTCTTCAGTCCTCAATGTCTTCGGGATTGACTGTCACAGGGCCTGGACGCCAGACTCTTCCAGTTCCCGCGGGCCCCTGGCGTGCCTGCCGCTGTTCCCCGGCGCTACCCGCGGGACCCATGCGGAGCCACGCGTGTCCCAACACGGACCAGGAGGGCCTCGAGAGGCCTCTGACCCACAATCCAGGCACGGTGGCGGGATGGGCCGAAAGCTACTAGATCCGCCGCCCCCTGTCGATTCATCGCAAGGGTGCCTGGCGTGCTTGACCCTTTCGGTTTTGGTTTTGGTTCTTTTTTCCAAACAAGAACTCCCCCTGGCGCTTCGGCCCGTCCCGCCACCGTGCCGCTCGCTCGGGACATCCTCAAAAAAACGCGAAGATGGCCCAAGATGGTCGGGACATCCTCAACAAATCTCTTCCAGGAGCGCAAACTCCACGAACCATCCTCCCTGAAACGGCCGTTTCGCTCGGGACATCCTCAAACAATCGCGAAGATGGCCTCCAAGTCCGCCCAAGATGGTCCAAGACGGCCTCCAAGACGGCCCAAGAGAGTCCAAGACGGCCCAAGACGGCCCAAGAGGCCCCCCAGAGGCCTCCCAGACGGCCCAAGAGGCCTCCAAGAGGTCCTCCAGGAGGGCCCGCAGAGGCCGAAATCATTGATTTGTCTTAGGTTTTTGAAGGATTTTGGAATTTGCTTCTTCTCGGCTTTTCGACTGCTCAAGACGGCCCAAGAGGCACCCAAGATCGCCCAAGAGGGCCCCAAGAGGGCCCCATGACGGCCCAAGTGGCCTCCAAGATGGCCCCAAGAGGGCCCCAAGACGGCCCAAGAGGCCTCCAACACGCCCAAGATGGCCTCCAAGACGCTCAAGATGGCCTCCAAGACGGCCCCGAAGCGCCCCAAGAGGGCCCCCTGTTGGCCCAGAAAAGGCCCCCAAGACGGCTCCCGACGGCGTCAGACGTGCCAGGAACCCACCAAGGTGGCCGAAGAGGTATTATTCGGGGAGACGTAAGACCCGGGTACGGGGGACTCGGAAATCCCCGACGAGGTCGTCAAAAAAATGACGAGGCCGAGCCTGCATTTTGACGAGGCCTCCCGCTGCAGACATCCCACAAAACTCCTCCTCGTCAAAATCCGAGTCGCGGTCGTCAAAAAACGATGGCGAACCCGAGTCCTGGCAAACCCGGGTCTTACGCTCCCCCGAATTATGTATATGAACAAAACGGACGCGTCCGAAACCAACATCCAAGCCGCACCCGCCAGCACACGAGGCGCCAAGCAGGCGCCAAGCGGGCGCCCACCGGACGAGAACCTGGCGCACCCATCCAGCGCACGGGGCGCCCAGGAGGCGCCCTCGGGCGCCCACCTCCTCCTCCTCCTCCTCCTCCTCCTCCTCCTCCTCCTCCTGCCGTAGCCATTCCTCCTCCCGTCCCCCCCCTCCCCCGGTCGCTCGTGATCCGGGCAGGCACGGCCAAGCCTCCCCGCTCTGTCCGGCGCCCGTCCTGCCTCCGGCATCCGAACGCCGCCCCAGTCCACCCCCCGCCCCCCGCACCTTCCCATTTGGCATCACCTCTCCACTCGTCCGTCTTTCGCACATCCGCCTCCCTCCACCCACATCGTCCTCTCTCTCCCTCTCCTGGCCTTCCTCGTTGGGGTCTGACCCTCTCTCTCTCTCTTTCTCTCTCTCTCTTTGCATTCGCTCATCGGCCCCCCTCCGCGTCAGCCTCTGCCCCAGTCTGCGCAGACCTCCACCCAGCATCTGTTCCACCTACTCTGAAGTCGGGCCTGTCCCTCTGTAGGGGGAATAGTCCCAAATAGTCAAACAAATATTATGGGGATGGTTTCTGATTATTTTGAAAATATTTTTGAGTATGGTTTGACTATTTTGTTTTTCCTCCCAAACCCGCCTGTACGAGGGCATGCCCGACCTAAACCTACTCCTGCGTTTTGTCCGATCTTGCCTCTGTGTCCTCCTCGTCCTCCTCCCCCTTTTCTGCTCCTCTGACTGGTTTCTCGCCTAAGTAGCCTCTCCTCCCCCCTGCTCAAGGTATGCGCGGGCGGGTTGGCAAACCGATATTCAAAGTGTGGTATGTGTGGTTGCCGGCATTCCCTCCCACGTGCCTCCCTCCCGCCCCTCGTCCGAACGCTCTGCCCAAGAAAAATCAATGCGAAACGGAAGTCCGAGGGCACAGCGATTGTGCTGAAGAGCGAAGACATTGCCATGAACCGAAACATTACCAAACCGATCATGCAACAAAAACGCACTGGCGGAAAACAATCTGGGAGAGCGTATAAAGAAGATGGGGACGCTGGAACGGAGGCTTCCATACACATTTGATGCATTGAAGGAAACGAGTCACGATGGCTCAAGTACAAAGAATTGGTGTGATAGCGCGCGTCTTGAATCTCGGACTCGCGTAGCATATTATCACGAGCACAGGAGCGCACAAGGTGAGGAGCATCTCGCGTAATTACATGCAACAACTAGCACTCGCCAAAGTCAGCGACCATGAGAAGGCACGAGAAAAACAAGAAATAAGGACACAATGCAGACGCGCCATCCCCGATTCGCGGTTTTCGAACGGTCGTCGGGACGCTTTGAGGGACAAGCAACCGAACACACACGTGGCATTTGCGGTCTTTCAGCCCAAACCGTATTAAAGATCAAGCCAAGCGGTGAGAACTTCGACGCTACTACACGATGCGTTCACTATGCAACACATGCTCCCTGGTGCGATTTCTCTGAAAACCGGAAAGTTCATGTACGTTGACGGCCTGTTTCCGCTCCTGAATTGCCAAAGGGATCCACAAGGACTGGGGCAGCACGGCCGAGCTCTGACCGCAACGTTCGGCCACATGGGGGCGGCGGTGATTCGCCGTATGCGTCTTCGATAAGCTTCGCGTCTGGTTGACTAACAGGGAGGTCGAAGAGAGGGAGGAGGAGAGAGGAGGGAAGTGGAGCAGGAAGAGGAAGGAGGGAGGAGGCAGAGGAGGAGGAGGAGGAGGCAGGAGGAGGGGGAGGGAGGGGGATGGGAGGGAGGGAGGAGGTAGGGAGGGAGGGAAGGAGGGAGGGGGGTAGGGAGGAGGAGGAGCAGGAGGAGGAGGAGGAGGAGGAGGAGGAGATACGAGGAGGAGGAGGAGGAGGAGGAGGAGGAGGAGGAGGAGGAGGAGGAGGAGGAGTAAGAGGTGGAGGAGGAGGAGGAGGAGCTAGGAGCAGGCACGAGGAGGGGGGGGGGGGCGGGAGCACAGCGGCAGCGGCGGCCAGCGGCAGCGGCAGGCGGGCCGGCGGCGGGCGCCTGGCCCCTTTTTGGCTCCCCCGCCCCCGAGGGCGGCCCCCGCCCCCCGCGCGCTCGCTCGGCCGCCGAGCCGCGGGGCGCCCTCGGCCGCCAGGGGCGGCGGGGCGGGCCGGCTTACCCACGGGTGGTGCCGTGGAGCGTCGGGGGCTAGAGGGGCCGAGGGCCGACGATGCCGAAGGCCGACGATGCTGCCGAGGGCGGTGGCGACGGCGACGGCGACGACGGCGGCTTCTGCGGTGGCCATGATGGTGCTGTTCATGCTGCTGCTGAGGCTGCTGCCGATGATGACGCTGGTGGTGGTGGTGGTGGTGGTGGTGGTGGTTATGATAGTGATGAAGGTGCTGATGCTGATGCTGATGCTGATGATGAGGATGAGGGTGAGGGTGAGGATGCTGATGGTGATGATGATGATGGTGATGATGCTGCTGATGATGATGACGATGCTGATGGATATCACTACGACGATGAAGATGACGATGACGACGACGATGAAGATGACGATGATGATGATAAATATGATGATGATGATGATGATGATGCTGATGATGATGATGATGATGATGATGATGATGGTGATGATGATGATGATGATGATGTCGATGATGATATTGATGATGAAGACGATGCTGCTGCTGCTGCTAATGATGATGATGATGATGATGATGATGATGATGATGACGAGGAAGACGAGGAGGAGGAGGAGGAGGAAGAGGAGGACGACGGGGCCTGGGCGTTGCTTGATGGGGGGGCAGTGCAGGGGGGCGAAGACACGTGCCCCTGTCGTGCACTTCTTTTTGACCCAGGTGGCCCCTGAGGGCCCCGAAGGTGCGCCGGCTTACCCGCGGCGGTGCCGAGGAGCCTCGGAGGCTTGAGGGTTAGGTCGGGCATGTCCCCCTACAGGCGGACTTGGGCCCAAAAAATCAAAAACAACAAAAAAGTCAAAGCATATTCAAAACAAATGTTTAACACATGTCGAAACATATTCAAACCAACGAAAAATATAAAAATCGTCCCCAGACTATTTGAAGGAGCCCTGGGACACACAAATAAATACACACAAATAACAGGATCCCCCATATTTCCCCAGATGTTCTGGGTTTTGTCTTCCCCCCCACTTCCCATATTTTCCTCATATTTTCTCAGGAATCGACGATTGATTGTGTCTGTGTGTTTATTTCCCCTCCTGACTACTGTTGGACGATGTTAGAATATTACCTCGACTTGCCTCGAGGGGCCGAGGGCGGAGGGCCTGGGCGTCGCCCCGTGGGGGGCGAGAGCTTGCCGTCGCTCGGACGCGCTTCTCCTCCTCCTCGTCCTCCTCCTCCTCATCCTCCTCCTCCTCCTCCTCCTCATCCTCCTCCTCCTCGCCCTCCTCCTCCTTCTCCTCCCTCTCCTCGCCCTCCTCCTCCTCGCCCTCGTCCACCTCCTCCTCCTCCTCCTCCTCCTCGCCCTCCTCCTCCTCCTCCTCGCCCTCCTTCTCGTCTCCTCCTCGTCCTCCTCCTCGTCCTCCTCCTCGTCTTCCTCCTCGTCCTCCTCCTCGCCCTCCTCCTCGTCCTCCTCCTCCTCCTCCCCCTCCTCGTCCTCCTCCTCCTTCTTCTCCTCGTTCTCCTCCTCTTCCTCCTTGCCTCCCCGTGCACTCTGTGGCCTCGTGGCGCGCTCCTCGCCCAAGATGTGCTCCAGGATGGTCCTGATTTTAATGGCCCGGGCCTCGCCGAGAGAAGAGCACACGCGTTCGACCGACGCCAGGAGAAGAGGAGGGGGGGCGGAGAAGCGCGCACCGTTCGGCCACCCCTCTGGGCCCCTAAGGAGCCCCGCTCGGGGCCCCCAAGGTCAGGCACACGAAAGGGAGGAGGAGGAGGAGGAGGAGGAGGAGGAGGAGGAGGAGGAGGAGGAGGAGGAGGAGGAGGAGAAAAAGGAGGAGGAAGAGGAGGAGGAGGAGGAGGAGAAAAAGGAGGAGGAAGAGGAGGAGGAGGAGGAGAACAAGGAGGATGAGAAAAAGGAGGAGGAGGAGGAGGAGGAGGAGGAGGAGGAGGAGGAGGAGGAGAAGGAGCAGCAGGAGGAGGAGGAGGAGGAGGAGCAGCAGGAGGAGCTGCACCTTTCTCCCGCCCCACGTTTATCGCCCCCCCCACTGCGCAACGCCCGAGAGGTCGGAGCTCCCCCCGCTCCAGGGTCGGGCTGGGGCTTCATCTGGAGGCCTCTCGACTGGGGTCTGAACAGATGGAGTCGGGGAATAGAGCCGCATCGCCGATCCTTCGGCGACGGCGGAATGGAAATCGGGCTCCAGATCGCCGGCGCATCGCCGATGCATCGGCGATGCGGCGCGATCCCCGACCCCCCGCCTGCTCCGCCCCGATTTGGGAGTTCTGCATCGAGATCTCTGTGGTTCGGCTGGGATTGTATTTTCAACTACTTCCTCCATCGTCTGATCCTTATCGTCCAACCTTTCAAGCTGCACCCAGCCGTGGCCCGCAGGCCGCGCACATATATCCTGCCAGGAAGCCGGAAGCACGCACGACGACTCGACCCACGCGCGGCACACCCGGAGGCCACGCGCGGCACAGACGGGAGCCTGGCCTGCGCGGACGGATCAATGCCAAACGCTGGAACCATCTGCATCTCTTGGACGCGGCCCGGGGGTCTGGGCCACAGAAAATCGGAGAGGAGGGGAGGATGCAGCCAAATCCGCTCAAAATCGGCCCCCAGCCCCCTCTCAGGGGCTCACCTGCACAATTGTTCACCTCTGATCGGTTTTTCACGGTCCCGGGGCCCGAACACGCCCGGCGGAGACCGAGAGAAAGGCAAAACACCGATCCAGAACCCAGAATCTCGAACCTGCCCCCCCTTCCTGCTGGCACAAGCCACTGCTGGGCCGCTTCAGACCCCCAGCCGGCTCCCATCTGCATCTTCGGTGGTTCAAAGATGGGGTCCTGATCGATTGGGTCCTTAGGACCGAGGTACCCCAAACAATGTAAGTCCACCCTTGCATCCATTCCTATCATTAGATCGAGCATGTCCCCCTACAGGCGGATTTTGGAGGAAAAATTAAAAATCAAACAATACCCAAGAACAGTCAACTGAATAATAGAAAAATTGTCCCCAGTCTACTTGAGTATTTTTGAATATTCCCCGTGCCCGACTTAATCCTATCCTTATGACACCAATCCTCAAGACCCCATCTCTGAACCACCGACATCTAGCCCTCGCCCAGGCCGGCCGAGACGTGTGTGCCCATCTTCCTGGCGCGAGGCCGAACCTCCTGGAGGCCAGCCCCTCCCTGCGCGCCGCCACGGCGGCGGCGGCGGCCGTGGGCTGACCAAAGGTTACCGCCACCGCTGCTGCCCTGGACTCTGTTGGCGGCGCGCGCAGAAGGGGGCTTCTTCACAGGAGGCTCCCTCTTGGAGGGCGCCGGCGTGACATCTGCAGGTCAGGCCAGCGCCTGTCCAGAAGCAGGGTGCTTCGAAGAAGCCCTCCCTCCTCCGCCTGTACCCCCTTCTGCGCGTGGCCGACTCTCCTGGGGGGTACGCTCGGACCAGGGCTGCGAGGAGCATCCGGCCGTGGCGACGAAAGCTCTTCGGGACGGGATGCGGTAGGAGGAGGTGGTGGTGGAGGAGGAAGACGAGGAGGAGGTGGAGGAGGAGGAGGACCGGTATCGTTTCTAGAGGCCTCCCACACGAGGTCCGAGCAGATGGGGCAGGAGGATGGCGCCGCATCGCCGGGGCATTGGCGGTGCGGCTCGATGTGGAGCTCGACTTCCTCCACGCCGACGTCGCCGATGCATCGCAAGCGTCGCCCGTGCAACGAGGATGAATCGGCTATGTGTCGGCCATACATTAGCGATGCATCGGTGATGCGGCGCGATCCTCTGACACCATCTGCTCGGACCCCATCTGGGAGGCCTGACTTTCCTCCTCCTGAGGTAACGAAGGCAATCAGTGAACATGAACCGGTTGTCCTGGCATTCCTATAGGCCTACCACGACATGTTCTTAGAACCCCAAGAACGTTCTAATGACAGAAACAGTGTCCTTAGAACACAAGCCCGATGTGCTCAAGCAAGACAGTCTCAGAACTGTGCGAATAAAATGTCGTGCAGACCACGGAAAAAAGGTTGTTTGAACCTTCTTTTGGTGGGCCAATAGGCAAGCCAGGGCGCTTCGCCACTGCTTGACGAGAACGGTTGGATGAGGATGAGGATGAGGATGAGGACGAGGAGGAGGATGAGGAGGAGAAGGAGAAGGGCGGGGAAGGGGGAAGAGGAAGGAAAAAGGAGGAGAAGGAGGAGGAGGCGAAGGAGGAGGAGGACGAGGAGAAGGAGGTGGAGACAGGGGGGAGGGAGGAGGAGACAGGGGGGAGGGACGAGGAGGAGGAGGAGGACTTGACGAGGGCGGGAAGGAGAGCGGTGCGAGCGAGGCACCCGAGGCAGCGGGCCGCGCGCAGCGGCGCGCGGCCCGCGCCCTCGGGGCAAGCGAAGCACGGCCGCGGCGCGACGCGCGCGCGCGACTGCGCGCGCCGCGGGCGCTGGCACCGCCGCTACCTCTTAGCCTCGGCGAGCGCGCGCGCGCGCGCGTGGCCGCCGCCGCCACCGCCGCGTCCCGCCGCCGCCGCCGTCATCGTCATCGTCGTCGTCGTCGTCGTCGTCGTCGTCGTCGTCATCGTAGTCGTCGTGGTGCGTCGTTTTGCGTCGTCGTGCGTCGTCGTCGTCGTGCGTCGTCGTGCGTCGTCGTCGTCGCGCGTCGTCGGGCGTCGTCGGTCGTAGTCGTCGTCGTGGTCGTCGTCGTCGTCGTCGTTGTTGGCGTGGTCGTCCTCGTCGTCATTGTTCTCATCGTCTTCACCGTCCAATTCGCCGTCGTGGGGAAGGAGGAGGGCGGCCCCCAAGAGACGTCCAAACTGCCTCCACGAGACCCCCGAGAAGCCTCCTAAGAGATTCCAACGTATATTCAGCACGGTGGCGGAATGGGCTCAAGGCCATTCGAGTATACGTATGTGTACGTACATAAACATATGTGTGTGATCCATATGGTTCTAGGTCGAGGGTTCACAGGACCCCCCCGATGGAATGGATCCAATAGTTCCACAGGCCCATCACCCTCTACCCCCAGATGGGATGGGGGGCGACGACGATGACGACGACGACGACGACGACGACGACGACGACCACGACCACGACGACGACGAATACGACGAATACGATGACGCCGACGAACCATCCCACTCCTACAGGGGGAGGGGGGGTGGCACAGGCACCCTCCACCACTCCACGCCCACAGGGCCACGACCACGAGTGGGGGGAAAAGTCCCCTTCGCGAGGCCTTCGCGAGACCCACGGGCGTACCCAGCCACAGGGGGGGGGGCTCGATCCCGTGTGCATTTGGGGGGGCAACCCTAGATCATGGACGCCCGCGTGCCCAGGTCAGGATCGTTGCATGTGTATGGCTCGTGCCCTCCTGCAGCAGACTCGAATCGTGCCGACTTCGGCGTTGGTTCCTGACACCGTGGAGCTCGTTCTGAGTATCGTTTAATCGATCCCCATCCCCAGCGGCATGGCCTGGGCCCCAAAGGCCGATTTACCCCCCTATAGATGGGAATGTAGGCCCTTTCCCTTCGGGTTTCGAGGGGTGTATCCCCAACTGGGGTGGTAATTTGGTGGGAGTCTCGAAGGGGCTGGGGATGGTGATGGGGGTCGGTTAAACGATACTGACGTTCAACCTTGAACGACCGGCCGTTCCCAAACGTGAGATCGTTCCACACCGAGCGATTCTGGTCGCCGGCGGCGTTCAACGTGGAACGCCGGCGGCAGTGTCGTCGCCGGTCGACGCGGCGCGAACCTCCCGTAGGTGTATAGATGGTACCCTCCTGCTGAGGAGACCAAAAGGCACCGATACCCCCTACTCCCAGGACCTCTCCTGGGGCGCGTTCTGACCAGAATCTCGAGGCGAATCCAGCGGTGGCGACGAGATCCTCCCAGGAGGCCCCCCAAAAAGGGTGAACGAGGGAAGGGTAGCGGTCTGGGGACCTTGTCCCCCTCTGGCCTCAAGCAGAAACCCTCCTGGGCGCTCCCGAGGTGTCGGTGGAGTGCCCGCCGACGGACCGGTGCCACATGACGTCCTGCTGGGGGCTGTGGCGGGCCCTGGCCCTCGCCTCGCGGGTCGGCCCTGGAAAGGGGGATCTCGCTGTCGCTGTTCTCGTTGCTGTTGTTGTCGTTATTGTCGTTGTTATGGTTGTCGTCGTTATCGTTGAATAGTCATTTCTAGACGGTGATTGTTGATGATTGATGATCTGAGTTATCGTAGTTGATTCCTAGACGGTGATTTGTACGGTTGTTGATAATCGTAATTGAATGATCTTGTTGGTGATGGGTGGTTATCGTATATGATGATCTTGTTGATGATTGGTGATTTCTAGACGGTGATTGTTGATTGTTGATAATTGATGATGGATGATTGTCGTAATTATAGTGAGTTGTCTTTGATTGCTGATCTCCGGAAGCGGTTCCGCGCGCTCTCGCCTCGACGCCGGCTACACTTTCTCTGTCCCGCGCGAGCGTTGACTTAAAGTGTGTCCTTGGAGGCCCGGCTACGACGAAAACGGCTCCCGCTCGATACTTCCTCACAATTTACCCCGAGACACCCTGAGGCCGCCGAACTCAGGAACGGCGCTCTCGCTCGAGACCTCCTTGCAATTCAGTCAAGTTGGGGGAGGCCCAACTACGACGACAAGGGCTCTCGTTTGATACTTCCTCAAGATGTATCCGCAGAGGCCCCTGCCAGAGAGGCCCCCGAACTCAAGAGTGGCGCTCTCTCGAGAGAGATTCACTCGCAATTCAAGCAAGTTTGTGGCGGCCCAGACACGGCGACAGGGGTTCCCGCTCAATATTTCTCAATCTGTGTTCCGAGAAACTCTGGCCTGGCCAGTGAGGCCCCTGAACTCAGGAACGGCGCTCTCGCCCGGGAGGTTCTCGCACTGCAGTCAGTGGCCGACAAGGAAGATATTCGCCCCCGAAAGGGGGTGCGATGGAAGCCGAACTGGGCGGGTATCGAGGGCTGGGGTATACAGAATGGAAGACATGCGTGCCCGTAAGAGCGACCAATCTTAAATTTGTTTCTCGTTGCTATCGTTGTCGTTGTCGCTGTCGGGTAGAGGTATGGGTACCTTTTCCTCCTCCGACCTGCCTCAAGCGCGGCCACTGTCGGGCCGGGCGAAAGGGGGGATAGCAAAGCGGGGTCTGAGAATCAGCTCACGTAGCTGATTTTCCCGGCGCCTTCCGGCGCCGGAGGCGGCCACGTATCGAGGAATGGGCTCGGCGGCGGGGCCGAAACCAGCAGCATGCAGCAGATTTCGTGACCCCCCCTTTCCCTATCCCGCCCTTTCGTTCGGCCCGCCACTGCGCCTCCCCCCCCCTCTCCGAGCACCGCGCCCGCTTGCCGCCGCCCTCGCCGGGCAGCCGGACCAGCGCGTCCTGCCCCCGGCGCGGCGCGGCGCGCTTTGCCCGCGGCGGGGAAGCACGCCGAGGTAGAGAGAGGAGGGGAGGCGAGGAGGAACGGAGAGAAGAGAGGTAGACGAGGGGAATGGGGAGGGAGGAGGAGGCGGGAGAGGGGGGGGGACAAGCTAGGTGCGCTC